AACTGTATCCAGCAAAACAAGGACCACTGAAGCAGTGCTTAAGAGCTAGTAGAAGGCTGGGCACGAGGACTTACACCTGTAATCCTAGCACTTTGGGAGATCGAGGCAGGAAGATGGCTTGAGCCCAAAAGTTTGAGAAACAGCCTGGGCAAACAGCAGGCTCTTGAATCTGTAAATGACTAAAAAACTGACTGGATGACCAGGTACAGTGCCTCACAGCTGTACTCCCAGCACTTTGGGAGGCCAAGGCGGACAGATCACTTGAGGTCAGGAGTTCGATATCAGCCCGACTAATATGGTGAAATCTCTTCTCTTCTAAAAATACAAAAATTAGCCAGTCATGGTGGTGTGCATCTGTAATCGCAGCTACTCAAGAGGCTGAGGCAGGAGAATTGCTTGAACCTGGGAGGCAGAGGTTGCAGTAAATGGAGATCGTGCCACTGCACTCCAGCCTGAGTGACAGAGTGAGACCCTGTCTCAGGAAACAAATTGGCTGGGCGTGGTGGTGCCCGCCTGGGGTCCCAGCTACTTGGGAAGTTGAGGTGGTAGAATCCTTTCATCCCTGGCAGCTGAGGGTGTGGTAAGCCATGACCATGCTACTGCACACCAGCCTGGGTGAGAGAGTGAGACACCGTCTGGAAAAAAAAAGTTAACAGAAACAACAAGGCCAGTGCAGTGGCTCACACCTGTAAATCCCAGCACTTTGGGAGGCTGAGATGGGAGGATCACTTCAGGCTAGGAGTTCAAGACCAGCCTGGTCAACATAGCAAGACCCTGTCTTTTAAAAACGATAAAAAAGCAAGCAAGCAAACAAGAAAGAAGGAAAAAAGAAAGAACAAAAACCAGCATTCATCATAAACTGTTGTTTCCCAATACAAAGCTAAAAGTTTCTCACACTTTTATTTATTCATTTATTTATTTATATATATATATTTTTTTATTTTTTATAAATGGGGTTTCACCATGTTGGTCAGGCTGATCTTGAACTCCCAACCTCAGGTGATCTGCCCGCCTTGGCCTCCAAAGTGCTTGGATTACAGGCGTGAGCCACCACACCCAGCCTCCCACACTTTTCTAGAAAGAATCTGTGTAAGCAACATAGCGAGACCCCATCTCAATTTTAATTTTAATTTTATTTATTTATTTTTCATTAAAAAATTTTTTTTGTTATTTATTTATTTATTTTGCTTGTAGGACATCTCACGTACAATATTTTTTAATTTTTTATTTTTATTTTATTTTATTTTGAGACAGAGTCTTGCTCTGTTGCCGAGGCTGGAGTACAGTGGTGCCATCTCAGCTCATTGCAACCTCCACCTCCCGAGCTCAAGTGATTCTCCTGTCTCAGCCTCCTGAGTAGCTGGGATTACAGGTGCTTGCCACCATGCCAGGCTAGTTTTCAAGAGGTTTCACCATCTTGACCAGCCTGGTCTTGAACTCCAGACCTTGTGATTCACCTGCCTAGGCCTCCCAAAGTGCTGGAATTACAGGCTGAGGCCTGAGAATCGCTTGAACCCAGGAGGTGGAGGTTGCTGTGAGCCGAGATTGCGTCACTGCACTCCAGCCTGGTGACAGAGACTCTAGCTAAAAAAAAAAAATCTATAATTACACTTAAAAATTTTACCTGTGGCTGGGTGCGGTGGCTTATGCCTGTAATCCCAACATTTTGGGAGGCCGAGGTGGGTGGAACACCTGAGGTCAGGGTTTGAGACCAACCTGACCAACAGGGAGAAACCCCATCTCTAAAAAAATAAATAAATAAATTTTTTAAAAAATTTACTCTTTTTCTCACTCTTTTGCCCACTGTGGAATGCAGTGGCACAATCATGGCTCAATGCAGCCTCCACCGCCTGGGCTAAAGCAATCCTCCAGCCTCAGTCTCCTGAATAGCCACCATGTTCAGCTAATTAAACAAAAAATAATTTATTGAGACGGAATCTCGCTCTGTCGCCAGGCTGGAGTGCAGCGGCACAATCCCAGCTCACTGCAACCTCCACCTCCTGGGTTCAAGCAATTCTCCTGCCTCAGCCTCCCAAGTAGCTGGGACTACAGGCACCCGCCACCATGCCTGGCTATTTTTTTGTATTTTTTAGTAGAGACGGGGTTTCAACATGTTGGCCAGGACAGTCTCGATCTCTTGATCTAGTGATCTGCCCACCTTGGCCTCCCATAGTGCTGGGATTATAGGCATGAGCCACCACACCCAGCAAAAAAAGTTTTTTTAAGAGATGGAGTACCTCACTATGTTGCTCAGTTTGATCTCAAACTCCTGGCCTCTAGTGATCCTCCCACCTCAGCCTCCCAAAGTGCTGGGATTACAGGCATGAGCTACTGTGCCTGGCCAGTGCTTACTTTTTATCTTCAAAATGGGAATAGTATCAGAAAATATTTTTAATGTCCTCTGCACCTCTTAGTCTGTCAATAAAATCTGTGAATAACAATAACATACAAAGTTCCACTTCCTAAGCACAAGCACGGTTAATTTTTTTTTTTTTTTTTTTTGAGACCTAGTCTCGCTCTGTCACCCAGGCTGGAAGGCAGTGGCACAATCTTGGCTCACTGCAACTTCTGCCTCCCGGGTTCAAGTGATTCTCCTGCCTCAGCCTCCCAAATATGTGGGACTACAGGCACAGGCCACCACACCCAGCTAATTTTTGTATTTTTGGTAGAGAAGGAGTTTCATCATATTGGCCAGGATGGTCTCAATCTTCTGACCTCATTATCCACCCACTTTAGCCTCCCAAAGTGTTGGGATTACAGGTGTGAGCTACCGAACCCGGCCCACAGTTAATATTTAATACCTTGATTTTTTTAACAATTTTTTTCCTATGCTTAAGTATTTTTCTACCTTTGTTTCCTTCTGGTTTATATTTTCCAATATTCCTTCAATGGTATGATTTGTAGTGAGCAAATCATGATTTGTAGTGAGCCAGCCCTTCTTCAACTCATCCCTCTGAAATGTCTATCATTAAGAGCATGACAAAAATGTCTAAAGTCCCCTGGTGGTGGGGGTGGTGTTTCTGAAAAATGCACACTCCTGGTCTCACTGCAGACCTGCTTAACTGGAATTACTGTATATATGCGGGCCTTAGGAAGCTGTGTTTTGACCAAGAGGCCAGGTGATTCTTCTGCTGAGTTAGGGCTGGGAAACAGCACGAGGAGGGATACAGTAGCTAGAAGTCGTCTTGCCTCTCTGTGAAGTCTTCACTGCCTCGTAGTAACGTCGTTCCCAAATTCTCAGCAGGTGAACCAAATGAAATGGTCAACTAAAAGCCAACCAGGGTAAAACAGATATTTTATTTCTTCTTCTTTTTATTTTTTTTACATGGGAGCATTGACGTGCATTTATCCCCAGTCTCTCCTTGTGAGAAGTGAATTTCTTCAACGTTTATAGAACAGAGGCATTCATATTATTGGATGAATTAAGGGCAAAAAATTGAACCTGATGTGCGAAAATTTCTGTTCGTGAGAATCCAGGTTATTTTAATTATCCAATCAAGAGCCTAATTCGTATAAGAGAAACACAGCAGCTCACTGACTATCTTTTTAACCGAGGACGGCTTGTCTTGACAGAGGGCATCTGACTGTTTTGGGGAAACTATTCCTGATCTTATTTCAACTAAAAAGCTGCTTGCTATACCAGGTGAGAGAAGCTATCATTTCTTTTATAAAACTTGTAGCTTGCATTTTGTTAAGTGTGTTTGAAAGTCACTTAGAAGGCTGTCATATATTAATATTGTTAGTTAAGCTGCATATCTTTTCTATATTAAGTTACAATGTATATTTCTTCAGAGATCTAGTATCTTTTTTATATTCTTTGACTATTTTTCTGTTAGGCTGTTGGATTTTTCTTTTTTCTTTTTTTTTTAAGTCAGGGTCTCTGTTGCCCAGGTTGGAGTGCAGTAGCACAATCTTGGCTCATTGCCTTCTGAGTAGCCGGGATGATAGGCACATGCCACCACGCTCGGCTGATTTTTGTAATTTTAGTGTAGACGGGGTTTCATCAGGTTGGCCAGGTTGGTTTTGAACTCTTTACCTCAAGTGATCTACCTGCCTTGACCTCACCAAGTGTTAGCATTACAGGCATGAGCCACTGTGCCTGGCTTTTAAAAATATTTTTTAGTTTTTGGTAGAGACAGGGGTCTCACTATGTTGCCTAGGCTAATCTCAAACTCTTGGCCTCAAGGGATCCTCCCACCTCAGCCTCCCAAAGTGCTGGGGTTATAGGTGGAAGCTACTGTGCCTGGCCCTAAAAAACTGGTTCTTGGAAAAAGGTGGCAGATGAATATGTTCCTGCAAAGCAGGGGAAAAACAAAAACAAAAACATTTGCCATTTAATAACGTAGGCAGGAAAGATCAGCTAAAAAAAAAAAATTAAAGGGAATTATGCCCTTTTTATGTCCACATTCTTAAGTCTACATAATGGGAAGCAGTAAGTTCCTAAGACTGGATGAAGAGACAAAAACCTAAAAACTGGAAGAAAAAAGGCAGTGAGATTTAATATTGTGCACTGGGTCACGTGTACTAGCACTTTGGAAGGCTGATGTGGGTGGATCACCTGAGCTCAGACCAGCCTGGGTAACATGGCAAACCCTTTCTCTACTAAAAATACAAAAATTAGCCGGTAGCCGGGTAAGGTGGCTTAGTCCTAGCCACTCTGGAGGCTGAGGCAGGAGGATCGCTTGAGCCCGGGAGGCAGAGTTTGCAGTGAGCCGAGACCATGCCATTGCACTCCAGCCTAGGTGACAGGGCGAGATCCCGTCTCGAAAAATAAAATATCGTGCATACAAATCTTGAGTTATTGTCATTGTAATTCAAAGTGTCCCAAGTCATTTTGCGAAAGTAACATTTTCAGTACTCAAACCTGGTTTTCTTCTTTAGAAAAAAACTCCTATCACCTGGTCTTGCTTAAGATAAATGTAAGACATCTTGTACTGCCTAACCAGGATAATAACAGCTTAGGAGAGCTTATCTGAAGAATGTAAGGATGGCTAGACATTGGGGAATCAGAAACAAAATTGTTAGTAAACTAAAGAACATACCATAGTTAGCCACAGATGCTAAGAACATTCCGCTACAAAACTCACCAGCAATTTAGGGTTCAAACATTATATCAGGCTGGGCGCAGTGGCTCAGTCCTGTAATCCCAGCACTTTGGGAGGCCGAGGCGGGTGGATCACCTGAAGTCAGGAGTTCAAGACCAGCCTGACCAACATGGTGAAGCCGCCCTGTCTCTAAAAATAAAAATAAAAATCATATGAAATGCCAAATTAATAAAATGGTGCCATTAAGGTGAGTTCAAGCCTAAAAGTCCAAAACCACTAGTATTTGTCATTGTTTTCATTGTTTTTTTTTTTTTGGTCTGACATGCCCTAATGTTTTATGATGAACTTTATTCCACCTAGTATTTAATCTGACACCTAAAATGTTTAGCGTATACAGTTGCAAAGACATAATTACTTGGAATTGTGTAAATAGCGATCTTTGAAACTAAAACTATTTGATGCTCAAATACATCTATTAGACTCTAAATCCCTAAGGGAGCTGATGGTCATGATCACCCACTTAAAGAAAATACCTGGGCCAGGCGTGGTGGCTGACACCTGTAATCCTAGCACTTTAGGAGGCTGAGGCAGGAGGATTGCCTGAGACCAGAGGTTCGAGACCAGTTTGGGCAACAAGGTGAAACCCTGTTTCTACAAAAACATATAAAAATATTAGCCAGGGGTGGTGGCAGGCACTTGTAGTCTGAGCTACTTGGGAAGCTGAGGTGGGAGGATCCCTTGAGCCTGGAAGGCAGAGGTTGCAGTGAGCTGAGGTTGCACCACTGCACTGCAGCTTGGGTGACAGAGTGAGACCCTATCTCAAANAAAAAAAAAAAAAAAAAATCCCTGGACAAGCAAGGTTTTACCACTTCTTCCTCTTTGAATTTTTTTTCCATTCCTGTTGTCTCCATGATTTTATATTAATGTGTCAGTTTTTTGAGACAGAGTCTGGCCCAAGCTGGAGTGCAGTGGCACAATTTAGGCTCACTGCAACCTCTGCCTCCCAGGTTCAAGTGATTCTCCTGCCTCAGCCTTTCAAGTAGCTGGGATTACAGACATGTGCCACCATGCCCAGCTAATTTTTTGTATTTTTAGTAGAAACAGCATTTTGCCGTGTTGGCCAGGCTGTTCTCAAACTCCTGACCTCGGGTGATCCTCCCTCGTTGGCCTCCCAAAGTGCTGGGATTACAGGCATGAACCACTGCACCTGGCCGTTAAAGTATTTTTATGCTTAACTTTCATTCAGTAGTCATTTACGGCTGGAAAAACCTGAGACTTCATACTTTGTTGGGCAGAATTACTCTTAGCACTCATCTCTTCAGGAAAGATAATTGAATAGCAGATGTGCTCAGGTTTTCACTCAGTAAATGACTTCTGTCTGTGTATTAGGAAAAACAATTGAGCCAGGCACAGTGGCTCACACCTGTAATCCCAGCACTTTGGGAGTCCAAGGTGGGCAGATCATGAGGTCAGGAGTTCGAGACCAGCCTCCTGACCAACGTGATGAAACCCCATCTCTACAAAAAAAAATACAAAAGTTAGCCAGGCGTGGTGGCACGCTCCTGTAATCCCAGCTACTCAGGAGGTTGAAGCAGTAGAATCGCTTGAACTCACGAGTCAGAAGTTGCAGTGGGCAGAGATTGCGCCATTGCACTCCAGCCTGAGCGACAAGAGCAAAACTCTGTCTCAGAAACACACACACACACACACAGAAAAACACAATTGATTTGGAAGTTGGCTATGAATCCGATTAATCAGAAGCAAATCCTGTTTTGAAGGGGCTCTGATGTGTTGATAAAATGCCACGACTCTTTCTCAGTTAAAATCGCGACAGCGACTTGTGTTACATGGGTGGCTATGGAGTTCTGCAATCCACAACTGACTCTCTCTAGTAACCAGTGACCTCAAGTGAACTCCTGTCCCTAAGGCAAGAGCAGCCACAGCTGTGGGGAGCATTTGGCAATCACTCTCCCCACCCATGGTTTTCCCTTGGTAAACTTTGTACCTACTGGGTCCCCCTGGTGGCGGAAGAGAAAATAAATTTCCTTCAAGTGACTGTCCAGTCTCCTTCAAGTCCATGTTCTTAATCTTTTATTTTTAAATGTATTTGTATTTTTTTATTTAAAAAAATTTTTTAAAGATGGGGTTTCACCATGATGGCCAGGCTGGTCTTGAACTCCTGACCTCAGTTGATCCGCCCGCCTCGGCCTCCCAAAATGCTGGGATTACAGGCATGAGCCACCGCGCCTGGCCCGTGTTCTTAATCTTTTACCTTGAATTTCATCATTTGTTTCTGTTTTGATTCTTTTGGGCTTTTTTGTTTTGTTTTTTTGAGATAGAATCTTGCTGTGTCACCCAGGCTGGAGTGCAGTGATGTGATCTCAGCTCAGTACAACCTTTGCCTCTGGAGTTAAAGAGATTATCTTGCCTTAAGCCCTCTGAGTACCTTGGGCTACAAGTGTGGGCCACCATGTCTGGCTAACTTTTTTTTTTTTTTTTTTTTTTGAGACAGAATCTCACTCTGTCACCCAGGCTGAAGTGCAATGGCATGGTCTTGGCTCACTGCAACCTCTGCTTTTCGGGCTAAAGCTATTCTCCTGTCTCAGCCTCCTGAGTGGCTGGGATTACAGGTACCTGCCACTATATCCATTTTTCTCCATTTTAATATGTACATTGATAGACATGGACAGCTATAACCCATGTAAACAAAAGGTTTTTGGGAATCACATATATAGAGAGAGGCAGGGCCTTGCTCTGTCACCCAGGCTGGAGTACAGTGGTGACACTTTGGCTCACTGCAACCTCTGCCTCCCGAGTTCAAGCAATTCTCCTGCTTCAGCCTCCCAAGCAGCTGGGATTACAGGCATGCACTGCCATGCCCAGCTAATTTTGTATTTTTAGCAGAGATGGGGTTTCACCATGTTAACCAATTTAGTCTTGATCTCCTGACCTCAGGTGATCCTCCTGCCTCAGCCTCCCAAAGTGCCGGGATTACAGGCATAAGCCATTGTGTCCAGCCTACTTTTTTATATTTTTATTAGAGACAGGGTTTCACCATGTTGGCCAAGCTGGTTTCAAACTGCTCACCTCAAGTGATTGGCCTACCTCGGCCTCCTAAAGTGCTGAGATTACAGGTGTGAGCAACCACACCCGGCCTAATTTTTGTATTTTTAGTAGAGATGAGATTTCACCATGTTGGCCAAGCTGGTCTCAAACTCCTGACCTCAAGTATCCTCCTGCCTCGGCCTCCCAAAATGTTGAGGTTCTAAGCATGAGCCACCATGCTTGGCCTTGAATTTCATCACTTGTATCCAAAGTATAAAAACATAGATTTACCACAAGGTGCAGTGGCTGATACTTGTAATGCCAGCACTTTGGGAGGCCGAGGTGGGCGGATCACAAGGTCAGAAGATCCCGACTGTCCTGGCCAACATGGTGAAATTTCGTCTCTACTAAAAATACAAAAATTAGCTGGGTGTGGTGATGTGCACCTGCTGCTTGGGAGGCTGTGGTAGGAGAATCACTGGAACCTGGGAGGTGCAGGTTGCAGTAAGCCGAGATGTTGCTACTGCACTCCAGCCTCGCGGCAGTGCAAGAGTGTGTCTCAAAGAAAACCTAAAAAACAGGTTTACCAGGCCGGGCGCGGTGGCTCAAGCCTGTAATCCCAGCACTTTGGGAGGCCGAGGCGGGTGGATCACGAGGTCAAGAGATCAAGACCATCCTGGTCAACATGGTGAAACCCCG